AGGGAGGGCTGGCAGCCAGGTAGGGCTCTGCCAATAATGAGGCCCTCATGCCTTTCTCCAGCCAAAGATCTGGCTATGTGGACAGTCTGTGAGACTTTCGTGCCACTCCTGTCTGTGCTTGGTGGCCGTGCGTCTCACATGAAGGATCCCCAAGTCTCAGAAGGGCGGGGGCATCTTGCATTGCCCTGGAAGTCGCAGGCATGCGGTGACGGAGCTCTGCACCTATCTGTTTGTCTGTCCAGCTGGCCATATTTCCTGAGCTCCCTGGGGTGCCAGGCTCTGTGCTAGCCACTGAGACGCATCAGCAGTGAAGGCAGCAGAGCTCCTGTACCCTTAGATAATGAATACCTGCAACAGCCTCCCTGGGAGACTGTGGCTTGGGCAGTGGTAGTCCCATTGGGCAAGCACAGCCTTTGTTGCCAGCTATTTACAAGTCTGTGCTGTGCTAGGGGATCGGGGAGGTGACCCTGAGTGTGCTCTGTGTGTGTGGGGTGGTATCTGGTGCTCTGTACATGCTGGGGGGAGGCACCTCATTTGTCGGCTATAGGTGGGAGCCTGCAGTAAGGTTACAGGATGGAGGGACACAACATTCTACAGTTTGCATTTTACAGAGATCTCTCACTGTGCTGTGGGGCATGGGTAGTAGGGCAAGGTGAAGAGAGACCGGAGACCAGCTTCAAGAAGAGGAGTGGGAAGCCCTGGGGTGAGGGTCAGGGGACTCTAGGTGAGGGTGATGGAGCTCTGGTGGATGTGCAAGAGGGTGTCCTGTGCTGTCACCCTGCCTGCCTGGTGGGAGGTCTGAACCTACCAGGTACTGTTCCTGCTCTAAGGTCTGAGTGTAGAGACAGAGGCTGCCCTTGCTTTTCAGGCTGTCATAGCACAGTATTGCTGAATGACCCTCTTATCCCAGTCTGTGTTTGTGTAGCTGACCCCTGGTGTATCCTGTGCCTATTTCCTCCCTGTGCTGCCCACTGGCCTCTCTAGTCCCCTCAGCAGCCTGGGCTCCTGCCTGCCAGGGACGCTTGGCTTCACTTTGGCCTTTTGCTGTCTGAGCTGCTCATGAGGTCTGGAGGGGGTGAAGGAGGCAAATCATTGGGGCCGGTGATCTCCTTGGTGGTACTTGCATCATGGCCTGGGTGCCTGTGGCAGTCACGTGTTCTAGAGCCAGTGTGGGGGCCGCTCCATATCTCTCTCCTGCTTTGAGCTATTCCTGGGGTGGGACTGGAGCTCTAAGGACCTGAGTTCCTTGCCTTGTCCTGTCCTGATGTGGCTCCTTCTTCCAGCTCTTTAGAGAAGCAGCTGACTCAACTGCAGAGCTGGGAAAGAACCAAGTGTGAAATTACAGCTGGGAGAAGGGAGCTATAAGTCAGGCGGATTTGGGTTCATTTTGAGAAACTTTCTAATAATTGAAACTGGCATCCGAAAGAATGCTGTCTAGGGAAAGGACGGCTGTGCTAGATCAGGGTCTTTCCAAGTTGTCCAGGGTGGCCCCAGACTTGAGATCCTCTACCTCATCTTCTCAAGTATCTGTGACTACAGGTGTGTATTACAGTGCGCAGCTTTTTTGGAACATTTTGATTGAATTGTTTTGCATATGGCTAAAAAGAAAATGGAGAGGAGAGAGAATGAAAGCATCCATGGTACCTCTCCCCTGTTCTCATCCTTCTCCCTGGAACCAACTTCAGAGATGCCCTCCATTTTGACAACTACCCCAACCCCTTTCCTCACACCAACAGGTGTTCTGTGAATAAGACACTGCCGGTGACACTGGGTGGTGCCCTCTGTCCTGTGCCCAGTTATGTTCCAGCCAGGATGCTATGGGGTACAGGGGCTTGGAGCTCCTTTCTTGTTTTGAGCCACTGTAACACTGCACACTGGAGCTCCTGGCCTGTGCATTTTCATGTACTTATGCAAGCATTCCGACTGGGTAGGTTCCAAGAGGCAAAGTTGCTGGATCCAAGGATACACAGCATTGCAGATTTTAAGGTTGTCAGACAGGTCACACTGATTCCTGTATATACTGTACTGGGCAGCCGAACCTTTTTTGATTTTTGTCACTTTAACCTGGAAGGTGAAAAACAGTGTTTCGCTAATGTCTAAATCCCTCATCCCTGGAAATGTAGGATTCTGTCAATGGTCAGGACAAGCAGGTTCAGTCTGAGAAGTCACATGAGGAGGGAATCCTGATGAGTCTCAGATTCCTTCCTGTTCTCCCTTCCCGCTCTCTATGTCCCCTGCCCCTGCTCCTGCAGGACCAGCTGCCTCATACCTGTTGGCTCAGTGTTATCCTTCCCTTCCTTGTTTGATTCCTGCTGTGAGATCAAAATTCCTTTGTCCCTCCTCCTATACTTTCTTTTTGGGCCGTGCTGGGGATTGAATCCCACTGAACCACATCCCCAGCCCTTTAAAAGAAAAAATTCTTGTTTGTGACAGGGTTTTGTTAAGTTACTTAGTTACCCAGGCTGAGCTCAAAATTGCCATTCGCTTGCCTTAGCCTCCTACCTCTAAAGTACTTCTTTTTTTTTTTTTTTTTTTTTCACTACTGGAGATCAAACTCATGTCCTTGTGCTTGCAAGGCAGGTGGTGGAATCACTGAGCTAAATCCCCAGCCCTCTAATGCACTTGAGTTTAGGATTAGTTACAGAAAAGTTGTAAATGCCCTGCAGAGTCTCCTCACACTCCTGGCCCAGATTCTGCAGATGTTCACATCACCGCAGTAGGAGCTGGCGCCCATCATCACCCTGTGGCTTTGGGCTTGCTGGTGGCCACAGCAGATCTTTCCCTGTCCGAGTCCTATCCTGAAGGCCACACATCTGTCCTCATGTCTCCTGGTCCCTTTAGGTAGCATTGTGGCTTCTTAGACTTTTAAGAGCAGCACTGGTCAAATCTGAGAGTATTACTTTATACTTTCTACTTCTTTCCGCTTCTTGCCAGATGTCTGGGCTCCCCAGCCCAGGTTGGCAGACAGCTACGACCATGGGAGGATCCAGCAGCACTTGGCTGACAATTGTGGTGACCAGCTGTGGTGCCTTGTGACATGTGCCTGCATGCAGTCTGCTGGGATGTGGGTCCCTAGTCACAGTCCACACTGGCATTGTGTGGTCCTTACCATGGCTGTAAGACTGTGGGTGGGTGTGGGGGTGTGACTGTGCTTTCTCCTGTACACAGTTTCTTCTAGATCTCAATCACATATTATTAAATTTTAGAGAACTCTTTGGAAAGGAGAGAATCGTTCACATGGATCTTTGACATCTCATCTGGGAGAACAGCTGGGTTTGGATGAAGCCCTCCTTTGTGAGGTTTCCTGTGCTGTTGCTTCTAGGGCTTCTACCTTCTCTGCACTTCCTCTGAATAGAATGTGTGACCTGGGGGGATCTCTGGGATCTCAAGGAGCATTAGGTCCAAAGCCCTCTTTTCACAAATGGGAAACTGAGGCTGCACAGCAAGTTAGCGGCAGGTAGGGGCCAAAGCCCTTGCCTCCCCTCCTGCCCTAGTGTTCTTTTTCTTTTGTATCACTTTTCTCTGAAGGAAATCACTGTCATGAATTCATCTTCCATTCGGAGAAGGCCCCAAAGCCATGCAGTGCCGTGTGGATGGCGTCCTTGGAGTGGGCCAGCCTTAGCTTCCTGCATCTGTCTGAATGTGGGGTGCCTTCTATTGCCAGCCTCACTCTTCACTCCCAGATGCCCTCTCAAACAGCATGCACCTTGTCCAGCTTCTGATCACAGCGGCCTGGGGTTCTGGGTGTGAGGATGACACACTCAGCGGGACCTTCCCCAGCCTGCTCTGTGTCCCTTTCCCACACACCGTGGTCTCTGTGCATCTGCGTGTCCAGCTCCTTACTTGGAGGTCTTTGGGTTCTTCTTGGCCTCAGCTTCACCCCTTACCTGAGTCAACAAGAAAGGTCCCTGTTCATGGAAGCCCCCAGTCCTTCTACTTTATGTGATGGGTGGCAGTACAGGTGGCTTCAGTGGGCACCCCATGTGTGCCTTGCCAGGGGTGGCCCTTGGTTCCTGAACTGCTGGGGTTGCAGGATTCCTGAGGCTTCCTTCTCAGTCTCCTGGGCGGCCTGCAGGAAAGATCATGGGAGTAGAGGGTGGGTAGTGCAACGTGGTCACAAAAGTCCTGGTCCAGTAGTTTACCCACTCAATAGGGGAGTAGTATTCCTGACCCCATCTCTGCCACATGTACTGCTCAGTTACTCAGCAGTGGGCACTCAGTGAAGTTCACCCAGGAACACTTGGCAATCTGAGGTTTTGACCATTTACTTGGGAGAGGGTTCCTCAGGTAGTTCCTGAAATCCCAAGGTGGCTGGGAGGAAGTTAAGAGCGAGACCTAATTCTCATGGTTGCTTGGTGGGGGTTTTTGCCGGCTGTGTTCAGAGGCTCTTTTACGAGCAGAACTGCGCTGCCATCTCACTGTCTGTCCACCTGTGGGCACAGTTCCGCAAGCTGTGCCTGAGGTGCCTGCCACCTGTTGCCTGTCCTGTGAGCAAGGCTGCGTCATGTCCCTGTCTCTTAGATGAGATCAGTGTCACTGTAAGCAGCTGAGAGAGTTGTGGTGAATGTCACCAAGGTGAGAGGGCCTGGACTGTCTTCTAGCTGTCCTTGCTGTGTTGCTAGAGAGGCCCCACCTGGTGCCATGGCCTCACCGTGCCCTGGAAGATCATAGCTGTCTCTGCTCAGCCCCTGTTCTGCAACCCTGCCCTCAGGGAATCAGTGCAGGGACCTTGTAGAGCCCAGAGAGGGTGGCTCAAGCTGCTTTTGCCTGTCCCAGTTTCTTTTTCTTAGTCTCTGCTTTTCTTGTTTCTTTGTAGCTTTAAAAAAAAAAAAGTCAAAGAACAGATGCTAGAATATTCTGGCAAGGGGGTTATCAGGCTTAACAAGTGTGTAAGTGGGTCCTGTGTCACAGTTGTCAGGAGGCACCTCTGACTGCCACCTTTTATTCCTGAACTGTCCCCCTTCCCTAACTCCTGGCCAAGCTGAAGACAGAGGTCTTACCTCCCTTGGTCTGGAATCTCTATCTCTGCTAATAGGACCTGGGGCAGCATTGGCTCGCTGGTCTGGTCGGATTTGTCTTCTGTCTCTGAGGGGTTTACTCAGAAATGTAGAAGGCTGTATTTCCCAGAGCTTCCGGAAGGGAAGAGATATTTGCTGTACATCTGCATACAATTGGTTTCCTTAGAAACCACTGGAGTAGATGCTCTGAAACCTGCTTCTGAGTTTTAAAGGGACCTTGCCCTTTATCTGGAGTATCTGGTGAAGACTCACAGAGCCAGTTTAAAAGTACAGACAGAGGCAGTTTGAATATTCATTGAATATATCAATGAGTTGAATATACTCATTGAATATATCAAGAATCCTACACAGTTGAATGATAGTGCTGAGGGGATGATTAAGTAAATGACAGTGTACACACACAATAGGAAATGATGCACTCATCAACGATGGTGTTTACAGCAGATCTTAATGACAAGGGGAAGTGTTTGTGATGCATTGTTAAATGAAACCCTGTGTGCTTAATGTGAGAGCTGATATTAGTCAAAATAAAAATATGCTGGAAAATTTAAAAAGTAAAGGTGAAGTTTATTTTTTCCTATTGCTTTTATACTTTTTGATACATTCCAGCTAGTTTTCAGGCCTCTGGTGTTACTTGTAGAGCTAGAAATAAGGTAGGGATGAAACAGGGTTGTCAGAGTTTAGTGGCCTCCTTCTTGACAGATTTTTATGGACAATGAGTTTTATAGGCACTGGGATTTAAATAGCCCTCCTTGTTCCACAGCTGCTGGCCCTAAGCCTCTTGGATTGTTCTTTTATTTTTGTTCTTTTGAGCCTTAGTTTTGCTGTGTAGCCCAGGCTGGCTTCAAACTCACAATCCTCCTGCCTCAGCTTCTTGAGTGCTGGGATTATAGACCTGTACCACCAAACCCAGCTGGCCTCAGGCCTCTTGATCCCGAAGGCTCAGATGGAGTAGGCTGTCCTCACACCTTGGTACCCTTTGTGACCTCACTACCCTAATGCACATTACCTGGCCTTGGCCAGAACCACCCAAGGGTTCCTGGGGGTTGCAGGTGGATTTCAGTCCAAAGGAGTTTGGTCAGCTTTCAACCCCTGTCTTTCTTTGGGTGGGGTCTCATTCCCAGATTCTGGGGTCAGGCCCTACAGGCAGTGACAACTGTGCCCTGAAGCACAGTGCCATCCTATCACCAGCTAATTTGCTTGCCCCAAGTGTCCACTCCAGGTGGGGACTCAAGTGCATGGCTAGCTGTAGAGGCCGTCCTGACCTCTGGCTGACCCAGGTGGCATGTTGTGACCATCCCTTCCCACTGACCAACAGCCGAGGTCCCACTGCTGCTCCTATTAGGACACAGGGAGAGCAAGCAGGAACCTTGTGCCATACCTGGCAGGCCTTTGGGGACAAGCCCAGTGGACACCAGCTTACCATACATGCCAGGACACAGACCAGCAGGTCCATTCTGTTCTGGAAATACTTTAAAAGGGTACTGATAGCTGCTTATAGATGCTAAATGATTTCTAAAAGATACCCAGGTACTTAGAGATACCAGAAGATTACATACATATGCTCGGGTACTTGGAAATACTAAATGATTACTTAGAAATACTTGAATACTTAACTGGCTAAATAATTACTTAAAAGGGCTTTTTAGATACTAAATGATTGCTTACAGGTACTGTACTTGGATATTTAGAGATGCTAAGTGAGGTACTTGGTAACTTACATTATTTATAGGTATTTAGGTACTTACAGATACTAAACAGTTACTTATAGATATTTGAAAATTATAGATGCTAAATGGTTACTCAAATACTTACAGATGCTGAGTTGCTTACAGATAACTTGGATAGTTTCAGATGCTAAATGATTACTTACAGGTGCTTGGGAACTTGCAGATATTAAATAATCATTTACTGGTACTCAGATGCTTATAGATACTAAACAATTAGAGATATTTGAATATTGTTTATGCTAAATGATTGATGCAAGATTGGTTCTTGGATATTTACAAATGTGAAACAATTATGTATAGATATTCCACTTGGAAGTAGGAAGTAAGGTAACTTAAGACCAAAATATGAGCAGCCACGTTCACTAGGATCTCTCTCTCTCTCTTTTTTTTTTTTTTTTTTTTTTTTTTTTTGTGGTACCTGGTATCGAACTTGGGTCCTTGTGCTTGTGAGGCAGGCCACCGAACCAGTGAGCTAAATCCCCAGCCCTAGGACCTCTTCTTTAGGAATGAAAATAAAGATTATTTTTCCTTTTCTTTTTTCTTTTTTTTTGGTCTTTTGAGACACAATCTCACTCTATAGTTCAAGTTGCCCTTCAACTCACTGTGTCGCTCAGGCTGGCCTTGAACTCATGGTGATCCTCCTGCCTCAGCCTCCCAAGTGCTAGGATTACAGGAATATGTCACCACGACTGACAGGAATGACCATAAAGAATTTCTGAAAATTGAATGTGAGCCCTGAGACATTTAGGATTTGGGGGACACAGAAACTGTTCCTTGTATGACCATTCTCTGACACAAAGCCTGGAATGCCCTGTGCATGGTTATTTTTGAGTGTGCTGTGCACAACCCAGGAGGTGCAGTTTTTGGGACAAGGCTAAATGTGGCTGTGCGTGCCCAGGATGTGTCCTGTATAGATGTGTATGTGCACCTAGCTGGTTCACAGCTGACTGTGTGCACAACCAGGGATGCCTTGCTCTTGGGGTTCCCTGTGGACACTAGACCTGGACTCTAGACCTGGCCTGAGGTGGATCTTGAAACAAATGCTGGCATCTTGTTGTTAATCCACTGTCTCGATTTCAGCAGGGCAAGCTAATTACAAGTGTTGTAGTCGTGCCAGTTTTACCCCTGGTTCACTGGTACAGAAAGGCCACAACAGTTCAGGTTTGGTTCCTCAGCTCAGTCTGAATTCTGCCAGTCCCCGCCGCCAGGCACTTGTGTTCCCACTGTCATTCTTTTGTGTGAACTGTCCTTAGGCTCCACTGCATGCAGAGGTGGCCCCTCTTTTCCTCTGTGCTGTGTTAGGGGGTATCAGGCAGGCCAGGTTGAGAGGTGGCATCCTGCAAGCTGCTTCAGTTCAGGAGGACAACTTGGCATGGTCCTGGGGCAGGAGGAGGTCTGGGAGGTCTCTCGGTACTATATTGGTCAGCGTGCCCTGAGTGCACAGCTCAGCAGAAGCTGCACATCACCCGGCACAGCTGGAGGAACACAGCCTGCCTGGTGGATACCAGGGCAGCAGCCTTAGTCACTCAGTCTATGCAGACCCTCCTGAGCCACTCTCTGAACAGATGAAGTGGAGCTGCCGAGATGCAGGCCCACGTCCCACTGGGTACTGCCTGGCAACCTCCACTTTGTGAGTATGGATGGCTTCTGTGGCTGGCCAGTTTTGTCCTGGTGGGAGAGTGGGCTGCCAGAGCCTTGGAGGCTGGGCAGGTGGGGCAGGAGGAGAGGCTGAGGGGCTGCAAGCCAGCTTTCCTGGCTCCTTTCCTCTTTCTCTCCCTCCCAGGAAGACCTCAGGTACAGGCAAATGAGCTTGCGTTCCCGGATGGAGTCAGGCAAACTCTGCCTCACTCAGAGTTAAGTCTTAAAGAAGCAGGGTGCTTGTCCTGGCCAAGGGGTCTGGCTGAGCAACAGGGACAGCTGGCTGGGGCTTTGATCTTAGTTCCTCTGTGCTCCTAGAAGGACCCTGCACTGAAGCTGAGTTGCTGAGACTCTGCAGGCACTCAGGCCACCAGGCTTGGAGGTGGCGTCCCTGAGGGGAGAGCTGGGGTGGAGAGTACAGAGCCCTAAGACTCCTGTAGGCAGGAAGCAGTGGGGACCTGGATGGCATGGTGGAGTGATTTAGGATCTATCAGGAAGACACCATGTGCTGGCTCAGGCTGGGTGGCTATTCCCCTAGACTGCAAGGCCCTGTGCATGGGCTCCATGCTGCTTAAGTTTGTTTCATCCATTACCCCTGCACCCTTGGATTCTTTATGCCTCCCTTTCTAAGACCCCATGAGGAACTGTCCCACAGCCAAGACTAAGGGATTCCAAAAGTTCTTTTCCTCGGCTCCCCAAGTTTTCAGATCCTTCTCTCTCCAGTGGAGCGCTTTGGCCCAGTGCCATCCTTCTCTGGGCATCCAGACAGGCAGAGTTCTCCAGGGCCCCTGCAGGAAACCCCTGTAACTCAGCTGGCCCTCATAGACCTTGATGGCCAGCGACTGCATTTCATTCTTGCTCAGTAAGCACCCAGTTGGGGCACTGGGCAGCAGATACCATGGGTGGGAAACCTGCCATCATCTGGTGATGCCAACCCAGGAGAGGGGATTTGAAGTGCAGATGCCTCTGAGTAGAACAGGGGAAGAGTGCAACCCACCCCGGCACATCGCACACTGGACCATTTGACAAGTGAAAGTTACACTTGATATTTAATGATGGTAATGCTCCCTCCTGGCTGGTCATCAGTGATTGTAGGAACTTGGTTCCCATCCCACCAAGGATGATCTTGAGAGGGACACTGGGGTGGCGGGGGGCGGGCAGTCTGCAGAGTATCCAGCAGTTAGACGCATACTTCCCAGATGAGAAAGTAAAGCCGTCAGCCCAGCCTCAAGTGGTGTAGCCCCCTCTGGTCCTGGCCTCTGGACACCAGGTCCCCCAACCCATGTGCTTCTCCTGGGGCTGGGGAGGACCCCCCAAAGTTGGCTGTGAGTGTTAGGGAAGCTCTGGCGGACTCTGCTGAAGAGGAAGTGTGAAGGAGCCCTGGGCTCTGGACAGACAGGCCAGCTATGCATTAAAATGTGATTTTTAATCAGTTCCTGGTCATCCAAGAATATGTTTACCTCTCTCTGGGTAGCTCTTCCCACTGGCCAGTCTCTGTCCCCCTTCCCCAGCTTTCCCTATGCCCCATCTTTTGACATGGGCTGTGTCTGTGCATATTCTGGCAAACAGTGCTGTCTGCACTCTCTGTGTATCTCCTATACCACCTCATTTATTGCATTGGTTGCAAAGCCTATTTTTCACATTCAGCATAGGTCTCATTGTAGCCCCTTGGCTGAGTGGTGTCCCATTTGTGTACCTGCAGGGACTCCCAAGACGGGCCATGGGATGCTGCTGTGTGTGTCCACCAAAGAGTAGGTTGCC